TAATAAGCTAACTCGCATTAGAGGAGAGGTTAATAGTTGTTAATACATTGGGGACACGGATATTCATCTCTCCTTTTAAATAGATCGATAAGATCATATGATTCATATCGATGGTGAAAGGGACATGAGATCAAGAAATGCGAGAATTTAACCTACCCCATCTATAAATGTTGGGTTAATATTCGGATCGTAGATAAACCAGGACGTGTCGTCTGAGATTATGTGATGTAGTTATATTTAAATGCTGGTTTTGTGGGATTCTGATATGTATTCGAGACTATAATAATAAAGGAGTTGGAAACACATGTCCAAGTTTGAAGCACGATGACGATTAATTCGTAGGTTTTTTGTGGGTTAGTAAAAAAAAGTGGCATTTAAAAAGTTTTTGTCCGAGGTTTTTCTATCAACACTCACATATAGCTGTTTGTGTGTGGCTCTAATAAAAATTTAACAAATAAAATGTATAAACGTTCTAATTAATACTATCATTCTTTTTATATTTGTTGTTAATGGTGCATAACTATTAACGTTAATAATTATGAAAGAAAGTGCACTAGCATCGTATATTGGGTGTAAAGATAAATAATTGGCTTAAACTAAAAATTCCTTAAGAATGTTATTCCTACACGTTTTAGCTATGCAAACAATCCCATAATGTGATTCAATTCTTCTACTTAAACTACTCCTTGTTTGGTTTAACACTTAAACAGCTTCATCAGAGATCTATTATTTTTCGATTGTAAATAAACAATGCATTTCGTTCTTTTAATCCTCAACTTAAAATGGTTCCAATTCTATTGAATGTCCCAGTCGAAAATTTTATTACAGTACCTCTTAACTTTTAGTCATTTATGTCGGTATATATGTGAATAATGTAAGAGCATCTCCATTGGAGGCTCTTAGGGGGAGTTCACCCCTTTCCCAAAAAAAAATAAAAATAAAATAATATATTTTTGGTGAACCTCTCTCTCAAAAGTTCTTGGTGGTGAATCTGGTTCACATGGGGTTCGCCACGTGGCGGCCCCCTATTTGTCGGATTTTTTTTTTTTTTTTTTTAAAAAACAAAAAAAAAAATTAAAAAATTATTATTTTTTTTTTTTGGTGAACCTCCCATGGGGTTCACCAATGGAGATGCTCTAAGGCTGAGTAAGTTAAAAGAAAAAGCTGCGTAGGAAAAGTAGTTCTATTTTATCATCGTTTTGTGGAAAATAACAAGTTACAAGTTTCATTTTGTTTGTGCAACAGCAAGTTTGAAGATAAAAGTAGAATAGTACACATTTTCATAAAAAAATAACTGATTTGACCAAGACATTTGTACCATATGTACTGCAGTTTTTTTTTTTTGCCATCTGGAATTTCATTAAAGGGCCAAGCCCAAGGATAAAACCATAGTTTAAAATAACAACAAACTAAAAAGCCCAAACAAATGGCCAACTTAAACAAGAACTAACTGGGCCTAGAAGCCCAAAACCCGAAACCCTAACGGACGCACGCGCACAAGCTGCCAAGAGCGCCGTCGCCGGAATCTCCCCACCGAGATACAACTCGATACTTTCATCATCGCTGGGAACCATCCATCAGAGAGCATCATCGAAAACCTCGAGATCTCATCTGAAACCCAGCCGACAGAACCACCAAACCCTCACACAAACACCACACCGATCTATGAGATCACTAGAGGAATTAAACGCACTCAATCAATCCTTCATCTCCGACAAACTAAGCGGTAACAGATGATAGATCGAGAGGCAGAGTACCAAAAGAAGCACAAACTCATAGATCTGGAAAAACTGGAAAAAACCGACGGAAAAGGAAACCGACGAAAGCAATATTGAAGAAACTACTGCATCCCGGGAAACAGAGCCGACGACAGCGGTGCTGTAGGAGCCACCGCCTCCCGGAGACTTAACTGGCGAAAACGGTGCTTAGAGAGCCACCTCCTCCCAGAACCAAAACCGACTACGGCGAAACTGAAGGAGCTTCCACCTCGCGGAGACAAGGACCGGCGGCGGCAGAGCTGACCAAGCCTCCACCTCCCGGAAAGACCTAACAAGACGATCTACTTCACCACACCATACCCTCTACACGTCCGCGTCCTCCCTCCAAAACATAGCCATCGCGCTTGGAGGCTAGCCAGAGCTCGGACAAGGCGGAGGAGCGAAGGAGCCGGCGAACAATAGCAGGGGAAACGATTTTAAAGAAGAAACGGAGGGTTCTGGCGACGGTACGCACGCTCACGCGCCGACCGGTCACCGGACCCAAAGTAAGATCTGTTTTCTCCCTTTTCTCTCTCTTTGGCTGTAACCATATGTACTGCAGTTTAATTTGAACTATTTTTTATCTTGTTTTCTTCTGAGTAAAATAACTAAAGATTAATTAGTATTTGGAACTCCAAGTATTTGTGAGACTTAAAATGTCACATGGTACACGGATGAAAACGTTAACTAGTTTTGATATCAATTTTCATTTCATTTAGATTTCTATTGACCAAGTAACTTTATAGTTTTATAACCAAATTAATACTGGAGAGGACTAGTAGATAATTTCTTATTTTGAGTAAATACTAATTTGATCATATTTGTAAACTCTCTGCTAGAACAAAACCGTGGGGTTAATCTGAAACTGTAATTCATGTATTCCAGAAATCGATAATTCGTTAGAAACCGTAATTCATGTATTCCAGAAATAACTTAGGTTTTGTAATTTTAAGCGACTCCATATCACGCATTATTGCCATTGACCTTTCATTTTAATTTATTAGCTTTTTGGAATCATGTTTAACTCAGACTGCTAATATGTTGTGGAAACTCTATAAGTAGTGCCACAAAAGCCTACAAGCTTTAAGTAAATAATTAAAAATAGAGAAAGGTTTGTGATTTTAATTTGGCTAGGTTTCACCGTGCCGGATATAAATATATAATTATAAATTTATAGGGTAAATACTTTCCCAAAAAATATCTATACATGGAAGCTAGTTTCCTTTAAGTTTTCCATGCAGTGTAGTTATCTTTCTTAATCATAGCCCTGTTTTGTGGAAATTTATCTTATCTTCTCTAAACTTAATAGGATTGAATTTCTTATTAAAATATAAATTTGAGATAAACCTCATTTTCATGAAATTATCCTAAGAATGTGTATGTTTTTCAAAGATAAGTTTCACATAACAACATTTAATATTTTTGCTGGTACAGCTTTTTATCGTTAATCTACGAGTATAACAAAAACTTTTAAACTTGAGTTGATGGATATCCTAAAGTTGTAGTATGAATGTATGATCAACGATATATATATATTCACTTTCATACTTACACACATAATTGCAAAAAAAAAAAAAAATTTGATAAAGGGCTGGTTTTGCAAATTTTCTTAAAGTCGAAAAAATAAAAGAAGATAGGGAAGCTTTGAATAATCAAATATCTCGTGGGCGGGTACATAAGCATTAAGCAGTACGTACCTTTTTCTTGATTCACATTAGCACATAATATCACAGAATTATTTGGGTTTCCAAGTTCTATACGAAATTATTGCCTGGCCAGCTAATGTTAGTAGATCCATATTCGAACAAAAACAATCAGCGAATTCTACATAGATTTTCATATCATACACGAAAATTCCAGTATAAAAATCAAATAAACTTGTACAATCTTCCTTTTCTGCAACCCTACTAAATAACACGATTACCATAACTTTCTGCTAATCTTCCATTTCTTTTCACCTTTTATAAACCTTTGCTTAGGTTGTTAATGTAAAGTATCATTAAATATTAAAATATCACACATTAAATATTTGACTATATTGGTCCAATCAGTCCACCTCACACCATAACACATCTTTTATAAATTCCATCGATAGGCCGGCCATTTGCATTCGTTCTTCTTCTCCACAGACCACGACCCCTCAAAACGTCGCCGTATAAGTGCATAACGTCTCTCATTCACCCTTCACTACTTTTCTCTGACAACTTTCTCTTTTCAAAAGATAAAACACCCAAAGTTAAACTGGCCCTTCTCCATTTTCGTTCACAAAACCTCGCTTTATATAGCACATACTCATGTAAGTATACCCTTTCACTTCAAGCCTACGATTATTACTGCGGCTTAATTATAACTCGTGTAGTTTTGGATTTTGTTCGTTGACGATGTCGTTTTCAGACAAGCTGTTTGTTGTCTGAACTCACTAATGTCTTCGCTTGAATTTTCTTCTACCTTACTTGCTCTGTTTTTTCCTTCTCATGACAGCTCTGCTTCCTTATTTTCTTCTACAATACCTTACCACATAAAAGTGCCTTTTAAATAAGCATTTTTGCATTCATTATCCTTCCTTACATGTATCAAAAGTATCAAATCGATCTCGTTATTGCAAAGATGGGTTCTTCAGATTATACATAGGTATACACATACTATAGAACATGGTTTCTTCCTCTTCTTGACATGTGTTAATTATATTACACAACATGGTTTTATATAATTCTCCTTAGTTGGCTTGGCACAAGAGTTTAGAGAAAAGATAGAAATTTATATTTTGCTTCTATGTAAAAATATTATTGCAAAGTTGTAGAAACAGTCTTTTTTCTTTTTGAATGAATTTAACATTTCTTCAAAAAAAAAAAAAAATAATTCTCCTTAGTTAAGAGTTTAAGACTTTACAACATGATTATCTTTCTAGTTGTTTAATATGTGTCTCAGATTCTCCTGCAACTAGGTTTTTTTCTATTTCCCGTTGAACTTCTTTGCTACTAGTATTATTTTTGGGTTCATTTTGTCTGTTTTTCTTATTTTATGTTTTAGTTTCTGTTTGATTGGACCCAAATTGCTCAACAAGTAATATTCTTATTGTTTTCATTATTATTTTTGATTAAATTCGTTTTCTAATACGCGTACTAATATCATGCTTGTCTGTTAATTACCAGATCCTCATCCTATATCATCCTCGGATTGTGGTGTTTGACTTTGTACAAACAACGGTGGCGCAAGAAACGCAGAGCGTTCGATTATATAAATATGGGGAAGATCTTGAAATCTAAGGTACGTTCTTGAACTACCTTTCGTCTCCTTTAATCACTCTTATTGTGTATCTATTTTGTTAAAAACGGTCACGTTTTGCAGTCTTCATGGCCGAGAACCGTCGTTAGGAAGTGGCTAAACTTACGTAGCGGCGCTTACGAGTTTCACTCCGATTACACCCTCAAAGGTAATTAAATTGACTCGTGCCGTTTTGGATCTTTGCCTTTGCACACTGTGCCGTTTGGGGTCTCTGTTTCTGCACATCAAGCCGTTTGTGTTCTCATGGATGTTTTTCTTACTATTTTATTTCAGGGAAGATGGAGCCAACTCAGCCGAGGAGAAAAAGTTGCTCCGACGGTGATTACTGCATGATCGTGCCGGAAAAGTTTCCAGGTAAAAATAATTACTACTCATAATAGAGAGCTCATGACTTTTCTTTTTATTTTATTATATAGTTTTGGGGCATCGAAAAATGCGTCGTATCTATTGTCCTTAAACCGTACTTGAATTAGAAGTCTCCGTACGAAGACTTTGTGTTCATTTCTAGCCATAGGATTAGTCGATTAGACATCTGTGTTAAAAACAACGGCAAATAAACGTTGAAAGGTAATCGTGTTACAAAGTAAGTAAAAAATGAGATTAGTTGTTGTAGCGTGTGGTGTGAGAGAGTAGGTTTAGTATGTTAAGTTAAAAAAAGTCTTCAATTTTAGGTGTACTTGCTATTCTCTATTCACCCGTTTCTGTTTTATACATACCTATCTTTGTTTGATTATAATATTTTAATAAAGACTAATTATTCACGTAATTAATTGATTTTGTCTATGTTTTATGGTTGAAATAGGTTGGCTGGGCCAAGCTAATGGGGATTTAAAACAATCAACCGGTGAACAACATGTGCCGCGTGTTGATGACAAACTTGATCTCAAGTAATACATAATTTTCATGATTGATCTCTATATATATACTTTTATGTTTATAATTAGCTATGATTATTAACTTTTGTTATTTTTTAATTGTTAATGATTAGAATGTTCGTCGGGACATGGAACGTGGGAGGGAAGTCGCCACATGATGGATTAGACTTAAAAGATTGGCTCCAATCTCCCGCAGATGCCGACATTTACGTGCTAGGGTATGCATATATTCATGTTAATTAAGCTTCTCTCACTTTTAATATTGTTTGTACTACAAAATCAATTATATCATCTTTGATTTGTTTTATTTAGATTTCAAGAAATCGTGCCGCTAAATGCTGGTAACGTTCTTGGAGCAGAGGATAATGGCCCTGCGGCTAAGTGGCTTTCTCTTATCCGAGAAGCCTTGAACAATAACAACAACAACTTATCACAAAATGACCTCGAACTTTCTAGAAACCACAAGACCTCCGGTATCACAAATGATAACCCCCTTTCATGCAACTCAACCACACCTCAAGGCTATTCCCTTGCAGCGAGTAAACAAATGGTGGGGATCTTTTTGTGTGTTTGGGTTAGAGATGATCTCAGGAAACGTATTACCAACCTCAAGGTTTCATGCGTTGGTCGTGGCATCATGGGATATCTTGGAAACAAGGTCAGTCTAACATTTGAATATAACAAAAATATAAAATTGTAACTCTGATTGTATAATATTTCGATAAATATCTATGATCAATAGCTAACGATGCAGCCTTGTGTAGGGTTCCATATCCATCAGCATGTCAGTGCATGAAACGAGTCTTTGCTTTGTTTGTACGCATCTTACGTCTGGAGAAAAAGAAGGCGACGAGGTCAGAAGAAACTTAGATGTGACCGAGATATTAAAGAGGACAAGATTTTCACGTTCTTCTAAAGATTCTCGACCCGAGACAATTATGGACCATGAGTAAGTAAAGTCCGAAATGATTTTTTTTTTTTTGAAAAATGAAGTTCCATTATTAACTTGTTTACTTATTACTTCGTTGTGTTACAGTAAAGTAATATGGCTCGGAGATTTGAATTATCGGCTAAGGGCCAGCAGTGACGTGCATGAACAGCTTAAGAATAATGATTGGGAAGCACTCCTAGAGAAAGATCAGGTAAATAATTACTATTATTTTTGTTTATATGATCTTTTGGTAAAATATTGTTTGTAGAATTACTTGCATAAGAGAAGTTTAAACTAAAACATATGTTTCTTATATTTTCTTTGCAGCTAAAGATAGAACAAAGAGCTGGCAGAGTTTTTCAAGGATGGGAAGAAGGAAGGATTTACTTTGCACCAACATATAAATATCTTATAAACTCTGATAATTACGTTGCCCAAACCGAAAAATCAAAGGAAAAACGAAGAACACCAGCTTGGTAAGAGCTTTCATCATCGAAATAAAACAGATAATGGTTACGTTGGTGTAGTTTTGTTTCTCTAACGTTATTTCTCCAAATCATTTATTTCAGGTGTGATAGAATATTGTGGAAAGGTGATGGGATGAAACAAATTTGGTACACGAGGGGAGAGTCGAGATTCTCTGACCACAGACCGGTTCAATCTCTCTTTTCAGTTCATATTGATTTAACACTAAATCAATCAAACCGGAAAACTAAACCAATCAACCAAAACCACCGTCCCAACCCGGTCTTGCCATACACATGCCACGGGAAAGTCCAGGCCGAAGAGATCTTGTTGCTCACACGAGCACAAAGTTGTATAGACACACAACCTAGACTCATATCATCTGTTTCTTGATTTGTTACTATTTGGATGTTTCCCATGTTACCAAAGAAGAGATGACACGTGGATACCTACATTGGATTGGATGATGGAGCTTTCGAATTAGCAAAAGCAAGATTGTTGATTTATATTTTAATATTGGGTTAACTTTGTTACTAGTTTCCCTATATTAGCTAAATTTTGTGTAAAAAAATAGTTTTACAGTTGTTGACTTTGTTTATAAAAAAGGTAAAAAGAAGAAAATAATAATATTTGTTGTTTTCTGGAAATTAGATAAAGTTCAAGATGGGCCCAAAATTGAAAGCCCAAATCAAATGAGCTTCTCCAATAGTCGTGCAGAGCAGTTAATACATCTCAGTAAGCGAAAAATAAAGTCAAAAAGGTATTATTCCGAGACTGACTCATCGAAAATAAAAAATAAAAATAAAGAAGCTATTTAAAATCGAAGTGGTGGTGGCGCCGGCGATATTACCGATCGTTCTCTCATTCTCTCTCTCTCCAGTGAGCTTTCGCGACAACATCGTGAAAGGTCTCACTGACCACAGGTGTCTGAAATATTGCGGTGTGTGTTGGTCTTTCATATTCTTTTGTTTCGCTTTTAGGGTTGCTTAACTCTGTGTCACTGTTTCTTTATTTTTTTTAGGACAAAACTCTGTAACTGTTTCTTGATTTTGGAGTTTTAAAAGAGTCATATGAGTTGATGATATCTGGTTATATTGTCGGTATGATATTAAAAAAAAAAGTGAACTTTGACTATATAGTCTACGTTATTGGAACTATGATTTGATAGCTTAGCTGGTTTTTCTCTCCATTTGTTTTATTTGTTTTTTTTTGTGAAGTTGAATCAACTCTAATTTCGATTCTGAAGGTCTTGCATTGCTGCTGCTAGGACAGGCTTGTAGTGACATTAGAAGAAAACTTCAGAGAAGAGTTGAGAAACATGGTATGTTTCTTTTTGTAGTCAAGTTTGTAGCTTCTTGTTTAAGATATTTAACTTCTGTGGGGGCAGAAACTTTACTTCAAATGAATAATTATGTAAAGGGAGAGCTTTTTTTTGTGTTGGCCATTGAGTCATGTGGGTATCAGAGTTTCACCCGGGGGTCCACAGTTCGTGATTTTGGTAACTGAACTTATAGGACTTTTGTGTGTTTGTCGTTAGGTTTTTTTCTTGTTTGCTTTCTTAACCCTGTATCATATAAGTTGTGTGATAAGCTAACTCATTTCTACCTATGTTACAGTCTTTTCCAAATCAAAGTTTTTGGATGGGTAAAAGTGATGGGGAGATGGCGTCTTATGATAATGCTTCTAAGCGTTCTCATCAATGGCTTTTGGATGGCTTTGAGGCTGAGTTACTTCCAAACAAGAAACATGCGGCTGAGCTTTCTACCAGCAACTTGTTCTCTGAAGTGATCAACTCGAATGACCCCGCTTGGGGAAACAATTTCTGTTTTCAGCCTGTTCCTTGTCAGTTTACAGAACGGTTGTTTGACACAGAAACTGCAAGCGCAGCTGATATCAAAGATAAAAACGTTCATCCGGTTAACATTGATCACTCTTTTGGTTTGTCAATGTCTCACACACTTGACGAGGATTCCAAGAGTGGAGTTAGCTACGGTGGAATCAGAAAAGTGAAAATCAGCCAGGTGAAGGAATCTGATAGTTTTGTATCATCGTCTACAAATGCACTGAACTACCACAGGACGGACAACAAAGCTGTGTCCATGACTAATACGTATAGGCTTGATGAGAATGCCATGTGCATGGGTCTTGCATTTGGTGAAGAGGAGAATATGATCGCTGAAAGTTACGAGAGGGAGACTGGTCTCTTTATATCAATGGGGCAACCATATAGTAAGGGCAGTGATGAGAATATATCTTTGGCTTCTTACAATGATGACAACAGTTTTGCTTCTGAACTTGCTTTCGACAAGGTTGACAGTAATTTAATATCCATGGGTCAATCATACAACCACGTTGATGAGAATGCTAAAGGCCTTTTTGTTCACAAAGAAAGCACACTTGTAGGTAGAGATGGGGTATATAACAGGAACAGTAACGTTGTGCAAGATTCTTGTAACAAGGGACAGAGTACAATAATATCTTTTGGTGGTTCCAATGATGATGCTGCTAATAACTCTGGCTACGAGTTCTTGATGTCTCAGTCCACACCTCACTTATCTGAAACTCCAACTAGCAAAGATTTGGTTGGATGTAGAACCAACGTGCTTGCTAGCAGCGAGGTTACCTTCTCTAATACCGATGTCTCCGTGAAGAAAGAAGAAACAAAAGTATCAAAGAAACTTCAGAACAATAGTTTTCCTTCTAACGTAAGGAGTCTACTGTCTACCGGTATGCTTGATGGAGTTCCAGTAAAATACATTGCTTGGTCACGTGAGGTAAGCTGATTCACTTGCGCTCTGTATCCCAAAGATTGCAAACAAGGACATTGGCTTATAATTCTTGTTTACAGAAGGAGCTTCATGGTGTTATCAAGGGCTCTGGATACCAATGTGGATGCGACTCGTGTAACTCCTCTAAGGTGAGCCTACATTTATTGGAGTAAGCAGATTACAAATGGTTCCTGCCTCTTGATTGATGATGTTTTCTCCAGGTGGTGAATGCATATGAATTTGAACGGCACGCTGGTTGCAAGACCAAGCATCCTAACAATCATATTTACTTTGAGAACGGGAAAACTATCTACGGGATAGTTCAAGAGCTTAGAAACACACCACAAGATTTGCTGTTCAGTGTTATCCCAACAATGACTGGATCCACTATCAACCAAAAGTCTTTCCGTCTATGGAAAGGTGCATAGTTTCATGCAATTTTTTTAACAAGATTTTTCAATTGCTTAAACGAAAGCAGCTGGTCTTACTTGATTCTAATGCTGTGTGATTACATCTGTATATTCAGAATCCTATTTAGCTGCTACACGGGAGCTTCAGCGTATTTACGGGAAGGAAGAAGGATACCTGCTCTGAGTAATCTTTGCAAAGTCTTGTACTCATTGTTGGTAAATGACTAAATTCAACATCAATGGAGAACTATTTTTTTCCACTCCATTGGAGAAATAATATAACAATTTCAACATTATATTCTGTATTCATCATAAACTAAAGATGAATGAATATCTGTATATATATTCACAACTAAACTTCATCATCATCCTACAGATGAAGTTATATATTTCAGTTCTCATAGTACATGTCAAAGTCTTTGCTTTGCTTTGCTTCTTAGTTTCTTCACTACACATGTTTCTACCTCTAGGAGATAAGTAACTTCATGATATATTTTTATGTCGTAGGATACAGAAACAATCTTGTTTTAGTGAAGACATTATCATAAATCATATTCATTTTCTATTGCATGAATCCAATAGTTCCATCTCCATTCTCTTTCGAAAATTATTTCCCTCCCATGATAGTTAGAAGTTCTATCCTACAATTGATCTGGAAACATAGTGGACAACATCTGGAATTGGTATACGTGACTCCTCCAAGCAAAACATTTGTGTCCATAATTGTACAGTTAGACTGTATCTACAAACGTTCTTCTTTGTTCTCCTTGATTGGTGATAGTAACCACTTCATGATCAACATTATCCTTCACGTTTCTGCTTAGTTCCAACTTTTGTTGTGTTGATTCATCATCTACTTGTGGTGTGGAAGGATATTCAATATCTTTCCCTTTGCCCCATATCACAAGGTAGAGACCAGCACATATAACCACCGCACCAAGAACCCTGCCAAAGAAAAAGATTACCGTTAAATCTTGGTTAGTAAAACTAGTGCCAGGTGTTGTTGTTTGGTATATATCTTGCTTACCTTCCCAAGTACATCTGCTCAGCAAAGATGACGGTCGACATAATCGCCACTATGATCATGCATAGAGGACTAAAAGCTGTTACAAACACAGGACCTCTAGTTTTCATCACCATTCCTCCAACATAGTAAGCAATTGCGGAGCACACTATCCCCTGCATCCATTTTATTAACATAATTAACCTACAAGACAGACTGTGAGTCACTGATTTTACTTAGATATGTCAGTAACTTACACTGTATGCGGCTGTAAGAAGTTCAGTGTCCCAACCAATGGCCCATGCGCCAGGGTTACCTTTCTCCATCACTAATGCCACGGCTGTTCCTTCTATTGTTCCCATTAAGCATATCCATGCAGTGAGTGAGAGTTCTGCTTGGTAAGTCCTCAATGTTACAGCCTGAAAACAATTTGATTTATTATAAAAAAAAGTCACTCAATAAGTATCTTATAATTATTATTTTTTAATTCTTACTTGGAGAATCATGAAACATGCATAGCTGAAACAACCAATAGTGACCAGAACTGCGCCTTTGATGGCGCTGTGAATATCAGTTCCAGTTGTGTTTGGTGCAGAGACTCCTTTGGTCCAGAAAAGGTCAAGAACTGGACCTTTTACAAGAGTCATGATCATAGCTCCTCCTACTGTAGCCAATGTCCCAAACACCTTACCTGCGCTCCTGATGCAACGTAGGTTCACCTTTTCAAGCCCGAATAAGTAGGCAAGGACGAAAGTGATTGCAGGTAGGACATTGTACATGGCGGTTGCAAATGTTGCTGTGGTGTATTTCATCCCCAAGTAGTATAAGTTCTGATCAATCACTGGCCTATTATATTTGCAAAAATACATGATACGAAAAATAAATCAGATTCAAGTGTAATAAGAAGATAGATTTGTGGGGAAATTAGGAATAAAAATAAAAATATTACTCAAGTAATCCAAGAAGTGTTATCTTGCCAAATATCATCAACGTCATCTTTGGTCTCACCTTCCTGTTTTTTCACATCATAATTAACCATTAATTTACATTAAAGTTGGACAATTAATTTTTCAGCCATAGAGACAATATTCTCAATATAAACATCATGACTATAAAGTTAAATTAGGAAGTTGCACTTATTTTTATTTATTTTTTTTTTTTTAAACCCGTTGCACTTATTTTCAACCATATAAACAATATTCTTAATTACTGACAAATTTCATATCGTCATTATCTTCTCTAACAAGGAACTTGTGCTTATTTGGGAATCGTTGTAAAAAACTAAAAAACTTATAGGAAGTGGTTTCGAATGTGTCAAAGTTACCTTTTTACAATCAATCACTGAAGCTTACACGTTGAAGAGAAACATAAAAGAAATATGAAGTACTCATTTTTTTTTCTTTTTTTTTTGAAAGACAATATGCATGACAGTGACATAAGCCATAAAAACCAAAGATAAAAACCGTTACAAGTGTTTTGTCTTTTAACATATGACCGACCCCTTCTTATCATATAATTACGTCACAAAGCCACATTCTTTCTTTTTGCTACTTCATCTTTTCAACACACTAAACGTCTACGCACAAGCCACACAAATA